TCCTTACCCTAGATCGCCCTCAAAGGACATTGATGTTTTCTTGAGGCCTTTGGTGGATGAGTTGAAAATGTTGTCGGCCGAAGGACTCCAAATGAGAGATGAATCAACCAACATTGTATTTAATATGTGTGTAATGTTGTTATGGACTATCAAATATTTTCCAGCACGTAGCGGTTTGTCTAGATAGAGTGGTCAAGGTTATTTATCATGCCCTATTTGTAACGCAGACACATCTTCCATTCATGTGACCAACAAGATGTCTTATGTTGGTCATAGATGATTCTTGCGTATGAATCATAGATGGAGGCAGAGTCTACTGTTTAATGGTCAACCCGAGAGAAGACCACGCCCAAGATGATTAAGTAATACAACTATATTAAAGCAACTCGCTTGTTTCCCTACTCGTATTCCATGGAAACATCCTGAGCACGGGGGTGCAACAAGAAGGCGCGACGATGAAACAAGAAAAAGAGAGTTGAACACAAACATCAATTGAAAAACTATTTTGACGTAGTTGGCGTATATAATGATGTGGAAGGTGCAAGAGAAGGTCCACCGTAAGATATAGATGACGAAGTTTGGGATGGCATGATAAATCTTCTTTTTTGGACGAGGGTTATAGGAAACAGTCGGAAAAAGGTAAAGAATGTAGGGTCAAACTTCAACATACAAGTGCTCGTGGTAGTAGATCATATGCAGACAGACGTTGTGAGGAGGTAATTAAATTTATTTGTATTTTATAAAAAAAAAATTAGTAACACTTATATAAATATATTAATTGTTTCTGGCTTATTATAGGTTGCAAATGGACAAGACCCGCGGCATATTGAGGGTTGGAGAGAAAGGCACTTTAAAGAAGGTCAGGGTTGGTGTACACCACAGACAGAAGTAGATTGGGTAAGTAATAAACAAAGTTAATAATCTCTTTGATAAATATGTTATTACTATTATTATAGTTTTTTTAAGGTATATTATATATATATATATATATATATATATATATATATATATATATATATATTAAAGTTATGAAAGATTTTAACAGTAAAGTGACACATTTTTTGTCAATTTTGGTCCTCCAACTTACAACATTGACCCTTCATCTTTATGCTTTTGTTCACAAACAACCCTTTCACTTTGGTTTGAATTTTTCATAACCCTCGCCTTTTATTACATATTATTAGTATTTTGTCTTTTGGTAGAAATGGTCCCTCATTATTATTATTATTATTATTGTTAGACAAAATTACACGATTCGTCATTGTGGTTTACCAGATTTAACATTCTCTTTTTGGTTTTAAATTAATGTTTTATTTATTAGAAAATACTCACCCAATACCATAAACCCACCCACCATCTGCCATCACCACCACCACCACCACCGCCAAAATTACATAAATGGTCCATATGGTTTAACCATGGTGACAAATTCAGTCCCTACTACCTGAAAAGACCAAATTACCCTCACATTAACGGACAAAAAGCAACCAACATGCTACTTTACTTTACAAAGCAATACCTTCCGACCCCGGCAACGCCGGTGAATCTTTTCTAGTTATTATTATTTTAGTGTTTAAATATAGTTATTTGTTTTAATTAATGTATATTTATTGTTTTCTTTGATTTAGGAAAAAATTTAACAGAAGAAGATGTTGATGCAAGAAAAGCTCGGGGAAGGCGAACACTTCAATGAAGAACATTGTCTCACTCGTGCCCTCGGTGAAAGCGGACATATTCGTGGAGTTGGAAGGAAACCAAGCATCAACAATCATTTGATTCCAAATCAACATTCTAAAAAATCCAATTCTTCCAAATCTCAATCTCAAAATATGGATAATTCTCAAGTCGGTGCATTAACCCAACAATGGCAATACGTTCAACAATACATGCACCAAATACAACAAGTGTATACAACTCATTGGCATCCGTAATTCCTAACTTCCAACCACCATCAATGTCATAATTTCCATTCAATCTGAATATGTTTCCACAAAATACCCCCGAAGCAACCAACGAGACCGAGGAGAACGAGAACGAGAATGATGAAGATTATGATTGATCTTTTATGTTATTTTGAACAATATTTGTTAAAGACTTTTTTTTTGTGTTATTTTAGTATGTAGATCTTGAATTTAAAATTTAATGGTTTGTTATGCTTATTATTCTACATATCTTTAAAATTGAAATTTAATGGTTTGAAAAAACAGGTTTGGTAAATATAATAAAAACTATGAAAAAAAAAAACTATACCGACAACAAGTCGTCGGTATAAATGATTACTGTTAAAATGGTTTTCACCTTCGCCGACGAAAAGTTGTCTATATAGATAAAACAGAAGTTGGCGGTTATCATCAATTCCTGACGGCATGTCGTCTAAATAGCGTTAACATTTCCCGACGACTTGTCGTCGGTATAGATTACCTTTATACCGACGGCTTGTCGTCTGAATTGTTATATAATAAAACTTTTTTTCCTCGAAAATCAATTTTGACGACCCTTGGCGACTTGTCGTAGCACTGGTTGACCTATACTGACGACATTTATCCCGACGTCATTTTCGATTTTTACCGACGGGGCTATACCGACAACTCTGTATGGACGACAAGTCGTCAGTACAGCTAGGTTTTACCGACGACTTGTCACCGGAATAGTGGTCAAAAATGTCATCGGCATAGGTGTCGATTCTTGTAGTGTTTGGATTTAAAATTTACGTTTAACACCGTGTTTGGATTCTTGTAGTCTTTTGCCAACTTTTTTTTGCTTTTCATATTGTAGAGACATGGGAAGTTTTCATTGGAAGGATTTCAACACTAACGGCGTGGGCTACGGGAAATATATCTTGATTTGGGCTATAGAAAATCGAGGTGAGAATTCAAATTAGTTATTAGGCAACATGGGCCAATTCTCATATGACTGATTTTGGTTCATGGACCCAAAACCTGGGGCGTGGTGATTTACGTATTGATGATGATAGTTTAGGTAGACTCTAGTCCAGCAGGTGAATTTGACCTCACCTCGTTGTATTTCTTCTCCTTCGTCTAGCTATTCGCTAGTGGGTGGCTTAATTTGTTTTGTACTTTTATATATGTGTTTTCCTGTTCAAAAAAGAAGGAAAAAAAGGGAGGTAGAAAAAAATAGACGTTATGGTAATACAATACCCACGGGTCATTCCAGAAAAGTAACAAATCACCAACGTATCCAACTGAAGTTCTTCTATGTGCCAATGTATTTGACTATCTGTGAACACACAGCATGTTTGTTGCAACTATGAAACGACTATGATAGACATCTGTCTATGCTATGAATGGCAACGAAACGATCGCTTGTTGCCAAAGTGAGTCTTTCTCCACTCTAAACCGCAACCACCAACTACTATAAACTATAATTACATAATTCTACTTGCTCTACAGTTTCTTTCCATAATTAAAAGCTATTATTCTAATTGATAAAAATAGTTTTTTCTAAACCAAGGTGCATTAATCATTATTAAATTCAGCATCATTATATTTTAAATTAAATAATATCCGAACAAGGTATTTTTAAACAGCTTGAATTGACTTGTTGCAAATGATCGACATGACTTGTTTGGCTTTCAAGATATGAGAAGCCATGTGCTTTACTTCAAAGACAAAAGGATTCATGGTCAGAAATAATATATATATATATATATATATATATATATATAGATATATATATATATATATATATATATATATATATATATATATATATATATATATATATATAAGAGGGTTCAATTGAGAAAAAAAAAAAGATTGAGAATGGGGGAATCATTCTCAGCCACACATTTATTTTGCTGCAAAACACTTAGGCGTACCGTCGGAAATGGATAACGGATAAACATGTGTTTTCCAACCAAAGATGTTTCCTTAAACTATGCTAATCATTACCTTAATATACACAAAAACATATTTTTTTTTCGTTTTTTTATTTTTAGAAAGCCATTATTATCGAGAAATTATTTTAAATATATCAAAATTCATAATTTTTTATTCTGTATAAATAGACATCCATATTGATATACTTTTAAGATAAAATAAAAAAATTATTTTTTTTAGAGTTTCAGCTCTTGTTATTCATAAGTGAATAAAAAACTCTATCAGATTTTTATTACAGTATATTCGTTATTCATTTATGAATAAAACGTATGCGTAACTTTTTTTATAGTTTAAGTACCGTTCATATATGAATATGACACGCAATAAAATTTTCTTACTTCAAATATATTTTTTACATCATCTTTCATCATATATTATATTTATATATTAATAAAACGTGTATTAGTTGTCGTCATATTTTATATTCATATATGAATAAAACATTTATCAGATTTTTGTTACAGTTAATTTGTTATTCATATATGAATAAGTAGTATAAATGATACTTAAACTGTAAAAAAAATTAATTATATATTTTTATTCATAAGTGAATAACGAATGTACTGTAGCAAAAATCTGATGTATTTTTATTCATTTATGAATAACGATAGCTGAAAATATAAAAAAAAAATTATTTTATCTTAAAAGTATATCAATATGGATGTCTATTTGTAGAGAATAAAAAATCATAAATTTTGGTATATTTAAAATCATTTTTCGATATAAATAGCTTCTTAAAAATTAAAAAAACAAAAAAAAACCTATGTTTTTTTTATATATTAAGGTAATGATTAGCATAGTTTAAGGAAACATGTTTTGTTGGAAACACATGTGTATTCCTTATCCATTTCCGCTGGTACAACAAATGCTTTTGCGGCAAAAATAAATGAGTGGCTGAGAACGATTCCCCCATTCTCAACTTTTTTTATTTTCTCAATTGAACTTACCTCTCTCTCTCTCTATATATATATATATATATATATATATATATATATATATATGTGTGTGTGTGTGTGTGTGTGATTACCCTTTTAAGCCAACATTTCATATTGCTTATATATGTATGAATATGTTCTACGATTCTCCTATTTTAACACTTCTTATATATCTTCATGTAGTGTAGCATGTTGTTATCACGACCAACTTTAACACTGAAATTGGCCTTCTTCATGATAACCACAATCGCACAATGTAATCCTCCAGAAGAGCCCATCAGATGTTCAACCAATTTCACAAACTGCACCATCACTAACTCTTATGGGGCATTTCCTGATCGTAGCATCTGCCTTGCAGCTGAGGTCGCATACCCTTCATCTGAAGAAGACCTTGTCTCATTAGTCGCCAAAGGTACGCAAGCAAACAGAAAGATGAGAGTAGCCACTCGGTATTCGCACAGCATACCAAAGTTGGTTTGTCCTGAAGGCAATGGACTCATTATTAGTACAGAAAATCTCAACCGTATTATTAAAATCGACAAAGATAACATGCTTATAACACTAGAGAGTGGTGTGACGTTGAGGCAACTCATTGATGAAGCTGCAAAAAGTGGGTTGGTTTTACCTTATACTCCTTATTGGTGGGGTTTAACAATAGGAGGTATGTTAGGTACGGGTGCACATGGTAGCACCCTTTGGGGTAAAGGTAGTGCCATTCATGACTATGTGGTTAGAATGCGGATTGTCTCCCCAGGTCGTCCTGAAGAAGGTTATGCTAAAGTTCGTACACTAGAAGAAAATGGCGAGTCTGATAGTGACATGAATGCTGCTAAAGTTTCTCTTGGAGTACTCGGAGTCATTTCTCAAGTATATATATTATTTGCTTTGATTTTGTAGTTTCTTTTTACATGAAAAATACATCAAACTTGATCTAAATTTGAACCCGTAACTTATAGGTGACTCTAAGGATGCAGCCATTGTTCAAGAGAAGCATTACCTTTGTAACCCAAAACGATACTGACTTGTCAGATCAAGCTGTAACCTTTGGGAGACAACATGAGTTTGCAGACATGATATGGTACCCAAGTCAAAAACAAGTTGTTTATCGGATTGATGATCGAGTCTCAACCAATGTGTCTGGAAATGGTCTCTGGGATCACCCTGGTTTTCGGGCCATCCCTTCACTTGTACTCCTTATTTTAAGATCTACAGGTACTCAGGCATGACCATACATACACACACAACTGCAAACACATCCATACGGACACTCGTATACAGTTTTCTCTAGCCATTGTTTAATTGTTTGCAAACAAAGTTACACAACTTTGGGCATCCACAATGTATTGAACGTTTTAGAGTTTAACGGATTAATGTCACATCATCTATCTACTAATCATACAATTCTACCAAAAATTTTCTATTAAAAAACAATAAATCATTTATTAAAAAACTTTTATTTTTTTCATTGAAGAGTTCAATGAACATTAAGCTCCGCATCCATTGAACGTTAGTTAGGCATGGCATCTCATTCAACTTTTCCATTAAATTATTCATATCGGATGCTCTCAAAAGACATTGTACTAAACATAAGCGGGTTTACTCTAAAACTTGTTAAGCTAGGTTGTATGTGCCATATTGTATTAGTGAGTTTGTATAACTCCTATATATATATATATATATATATATATATATATATATATATATATATATATATTATATATATATATATATATATATATATATATATATATATATATATATTCATCAACCATGGCTTTTAGAAAAGGATAAAAAGGAACTATATATTATCATAATTCTCAACAATTAATAAATGTAGAGGAAGGTCAAGAAGCGAGAGGTGATGTTTCTGGAAAGTGTATTGGTGGAAAACTTACTATAAACACTCTAATAAAGGGTGCATACGGGCTAACCAATGATGGTAAGCATGTTTAGACCTCAAAATTTTCCACAATTAGTCGTTGAAATAAATATAACTATATATAATCAAGTATATATTTTATGTAGGTATTATCTTTAAGGGGTACCCTGTGGTTGGATATCAAAATCGACTCCAAGCATCAGGGGGTTGCTTAAAAGGCCACAAGGATGCCGAACTCACAGCATGTTCATGGGATCCTCGAGTCAAGGGTTTATTCTTTCACCAGACTACATTTAGCATCGGCCTTTCGAAAGCCAAAGATTTCATCCAAGACGTACAGAAGCTCGTAAGTATAGCACCACGATCCTTGTGTGGAGTAGATCTCTATAACGGCATCCTTATGAGATATGTTACGGGTTCAAAGGCTTACTTAGGCAAACAAGAAGACTCATTGGATTTCGACATCACTTATTACAGAAGTAAAGATCCAAAAAATCCAAGACTTTTTGAGGACGTTCTTGAAGAGATTGAGCAAATGGCTGTTTTTAAGTATGGTGGTCTACCACATTGGGGAAAGAATCGAAATGTGGCATTCGAAGGGTCTATTAAGAAGTACAGAAAGGGTAGAGAGTTTCTTAAGGTTAAGCAGAAGTTCGATTCATTAGGTTTGTTCTCAAGTGAGTGGACAGATCAAATTTTAGGACTCAAAAGTGGGCTAAGCATGTTTAAAGATGGATGTGCACTTGAGGGACTGTGTGTGTGTTCACTAGACATTCATTGTGCACCCCAAAATGGTTATTTATGTAGACCTGGAAAAGTCTTTGAAGATGCAAGGGTTTGTACTTTAGTTTAAACGCTAATCAAATGGGTACTTTGCTCAGATGGATTTAGTTAGCTCTATAATTCTAAAGCGACGAGTTTGTGTCTTTTCGAAGACATGGGTATGTAAATTGAGATATTGTTTCAGGAAAACCTTACTAATGCTAATAAGATTATTTGTATATGAGAAGTACTCTATAGGGTGAGGATGAGAAGCAGGTATCTGACACTGGAACCGAAACCATGTAGGAATCGCCGGTTTCGAAACTGGAACCGCCTTAAACGGTTCTGGTTCCGGTTTTTTATTTTTCGGAACCGCTACCCGTCAGATAACTGCCGGAACCGGTTATATATATATATATATATATATATATATATATATATATATTATATATATATATATATATATATATATATAGACACACACATATATATTATGAAAGTTCATGAAAAACTCTCTGATGTAATACACATATATATTATGAAAGTTCATGAAAAAACTCTCTGATGTAATACACGAGAGTTACGATGATATATATAGGTAAATAAGTTACAAGAACACCCCTCTAACTAATAAATAACTTACATGAACACCCCTCTAACTAATGAAAAAATACATAATGGTACAAGAACTATATTTGTCTAATATCCCCCTTCAAGCGAATCGGTGGCGGTCCAAGGCGTAGCATGTGACGAAACTGTTCAAACTGTCGTCGTGGAAAGCTCTTAGTAAAAATGTCTGCTACCTGAAGCTTGGTAGGAACAAACATGGTAACGAGTTTCCCAGATACAACGAGCTCACGAACAAAATGGTAGTCAAGATCGATATGTTTGGCGCGCTTATGAGACACTGGGTTTTGTGTGAGAAATAGGGCACTCTGATTATCACACAAGATGGTCGGACGGCCAGTGGGAAGAAAGTGAAGCTCACACAACAAGTGAGTAATCCATATGAGTTCAGCAGCAGTGTTAGCCATGGCTCGATATTCAGATTCACAACTGGAGTGAGAGACCGTAGGCTGCTTTTTGGCGCTCCAGGATACAAGATTACCCCCCAGGAAGATCGAGTACCCATAGGTGGACCGGCGCGTATCCAAACAACGAGCCCAATCCGCATCAGAATAACCAACAAGGTTCGTAGATGTTGGTCTCGAAAAAGTAAGACCATAAGAGAGGGTGCCCTTAACATATCGGATAAGCCGCTTGACCGCCTGATAGTGATCAATAGTAGGAGCCTGAAGAAACTGGCTAACCTGATTAACAGCATAAGAAATATCAGGACGGGTGATGGTCAAATATTGCAAAGCCCCAACAAGAGAACGATAATGGGTCGGATCCTCATAAGGTGTACCAGATGCTACAAAAGAGACACTCGGGGATAGAGGGGTCGCCACGGGCTTCGACTCAAGTAGGCCATCACGGGAAACAATAGCATGAGCATACTTGGACTGACTAAGAAACAACCCGGACGAAAGACGCTTGGCTTCCAAACCGAGAAAGTAGTTGAGGTGACCGAGATCCTTGATCTTGAATTCGGTGTGAAGCTTGGAGATAAAAGAGCGAATAACAGCCGAGTCGGAGCCTGTTAGGATAAGGTCATCTACATATACGAGTAGGTATAAAAGACAAGCACCACGTTGAAACACAAACAAAGAGGGATCCGCACGACTACAAGTGAACCCATTTGCCACAAGAAAGGAGCTCAAGCGATGAAACCATACCCTAGGAGCTTGTTTGAGGCCATAAATGGCCTTGTTGAGCGTGCAAACATGATTAGGGTAACGAGGATCCTCGAACCCGGGTGGTTGCCGCATATACACCGTATCGGGACAAGTGGCCATGAAGAAAGACGTTGTTCACATCAAGCTGGTGGAGCGGCCAGATATGAATAACAGCTAGACCTAGCAAAACATGACACGACACGAACCCGACACGAAATTAGCGGGTTAGGGTCAGAGATTTCGACACGTTTATGTAAACGGGTTGACACGACACGACACGATAATTAAACGGGTAGGGTTAGGGTCAAGACTTTCAACTCGAAGATGACTCGAAGATGACTCGAATATGACCCGTTTAATTATATATTATTTACAAAAAATTTCATATTTTTATCAATATATTATATGTTATAGACTTGTAGTGGGCCAAACTCAAGAATTAGAAGTAATATTCAAATTTTCAAAGTTACTTAATTTTAGTCATCCTCACTACATATCCCTTTTGCTCCCCAACTTTAACTCTTTTTCATTTTTCCTTCTAAACTTACTATAAATTTTGTCATTCTATCTCATAACTCTAGTGTTTCACTTTTTCCTTTTTTCCTCCACAACTCCTACTTTCCAACCTTTAAAATATTTCAACCCGACATGACACAACATATTTACAAGGTCTAAACCTTAACCCGAAACCCGACACGAAACTGACACGAAAATAAACGGGTTGACACGGCACGACACGATAATTAAACGGGTCGGGTTAGGGTCAAGCCCTTTCAACCCGTTTAATGTCTTGACACGACACGAACCCGACACGACACGACACGTTTGCCAGGTCTAATAACAGCAATAGTCAAGACAACCCGGACGGTTGCCGCCTTCACTACCGGGCTAAAAGTATGAGAAAAATCGAGACCGGGAATTTGACTAAAACCTTGAGCAACAAGGCGTGCTTTATGTCGATCAATAGATCCATCGGCGAAGTACTTGGTCCGAAAAATCCAACGATACCCCACCACATTCGTGTTGCCAGGATGGGGAACCAAAGACCAAGTGTGATTCTGTGAAAGTGCATGCATTTCGGAGCGCATGGCGCCAACCCATTTGGAATCCCTGAGAGCCTCAATATGCGTTGTCGGGTCAACAGAGGCAAACAGAGCAGCATAAAGTCCACCATCAGATGTATGAGAAAGGTCTGCCCAATGCCTTGGTTTAAAAATCCCAGATTTTGCTCGAGTGGTCATGGGGTGCCCGATAGGAGCAACACGAGCCGAGGCCGATGGAGTAGAGGGCGAGGGGGTAGCAACCTCAACATCGGGTAGTGACGGATCCGAATCAGAACCCGATGCAGGTTCAGTGTCAGAGCCGTGATCAGAGTCCGAGGTAGAGGAAGAGGAGTCTGAGGCATACACTGTAGAAGCAGGATCGGGTTGGGGGGGGCTCGACTTGGGATGACGGCATCGGAGGATCATCACATACAGTACATGGAGCTGGAGGCGAGGCCGGTGGAGCGGGTTTTGAGACAGCAACGGGCACGGACACACACGGAAAATCATCCAAAAAAGAGTGAAGTGGTAAATCAACGATTGCGTTGTGCGTGGCAGCGGTGTCAAAAGGAAAACACAACTCATCAAACCGAGCATGGCGTGTGATATAGATGCGCGAGGATCTAGGATCAAGACATAAGTAACCTTTGTATTGGGAGTGATATCCAAGAAAAACGCAGGGAATGCTCCGTGGAGACAATTTATGAGCCGAATAATCCCGCAAATAAGGGTAGACCCGGCACCCGAACGGGCAAAAATTATCATAAGGTGGCACCCGACCAAACAACATCTCAAAAGGAGAACGATAGCCAAGAACTTTTGAAGGCAAGCGATTAATAATATACACCGCGGTGCTAAAGGCATGAACCCAATAAGAGGCGGGTATGTGACCATGAAACATCATGGCAAGGCCTGTTTCAATTATATGTCGATGCTTGCGTTCGGCTCGTCCGTTTTGTTGCAGGGTGTACGGACACGGAATCTGATGAAAAATGCCACGCGAGTTTAATAAGCCATTCACACGGTAGTTTAAAAATTCCGTACCCCCATCACTTTGAAAAACTTTAAGCTTGGTGGAAAATTGATTTTCCACAAAAGTGAGAAATGAGACGAAAACATCATAAAATTCTGATTTGGCCTTGAGTGGATACAACCATGTAAAGCGCGAATAATCGTCCACAAAAGAGACATAGTAGCGATATGAATTAACCGACGAAACGGGTGACGGCCCCCATAAATCACAATGCACCAAATCCAATATATGTAAAGCACGTTTAGTATTATTAGAAAATGGCAAGCGACGAGACTTAGCAAGTTCACAAGGAGAGCAAATATTTGGTTTTGGCAACACACTAGAAACAAATAAAAGTCCAAGTTTATTTAACATAGAAATAGTGTCAAAAGACACATGTCCCAATCTGGAGTGCCAAAGTTCAAAAGAGGCACGCGGCTTTGATCCGGCAAAAAACGCATAAGCTTTGGGAGAAGTGGCTAGAACATAGAGCCCACGATCACATTTTCCTTGTGCTAGGACCTGCTTCGTTGTTCGATCCTGAATGAAAAATGAAGAAGCAGAAAAAAGAACATCCACAGGATTGTCACGCGTTAGTTTACTAATGGATAATAAATTTTTGGTGAGGCGGGGAACCACCAATACATCCCACAAGTGAATACCATTAGCAATTTTGTAAGAACCAATAGAAGAGATGTTGAGTGTATTACCATTTCCGAATTGGACCGAAGAGTCACCACTATACGGCTCGACATTAGACACCGATCCGGTGGAAGACACCATGTGATCGGAGGCGCCGGAATCAACAAACCAATCTGGGCCGGAAGGAGTAACTTGACACTTGGTTAAAAAAGCTTTGGCGAGATCAACATCACGCATGGGTGAAGGGGACACAAAATATTGAAGTTGAGGGCACTGGTTCGCGTAGTGGCCATTTTGGCGACAAAGTTGACAATGAGGCGGCCGGCGTCCACGACCGCGACCACCACGAAACGAGCGACCACCCCGACCCCGACCATCATTCGAACCCGAGGAGGGAGTGGCGCCGGTAGAAAAAGCAACCGAGGGAGTGGTGTCAACAAGTCACGAAACCCAAAAACAGCCCCGGAAGCACGGATGGCGGTGGAAAAATTCTCAAACGAGGCACTGAGACCGCAAAGAAACCAATGAGTTTTGTCAGTTTCCTCCACCCCTTGACCAATGGCGGCAAGTTGATCACAAACGGACTTGAATTTTCGGCCAAATTCTGAAACGGTGGAGGAACCCTTGGTAAGATGGCGTAGTTGATCACGAAGATTTTGGGCACGCTCTAAGGAGGAGTTGTCGTAGGCGGCTTCAAGGGCTACCCAAATGTCACGAGCTGTTGAGAGGCCCACAATCTCAGAAAAAGCTTCTTCTGTGAGAGAAGCTTGAAGAAGAATAACAGCCCTTTGATCGGTGGAGACCCACTCTGCCAAGGCCGGATTCAAGGTCGGCTTGTTATCAACCAAAATGGAGGGTGGTGGGGACGGAACGGAGCCGTCAACATGACCAAGAATTTGCTGGTATTGTAAAAGAGGGATCATTTGATTCTTCCACAGAAGGTAATTTGATGAAGAAAGGCGAATGGTGATGAGATGCAAAATGGTGTTCATAGAGAGAGAGGAAGCATTAGAGTCGGACATGATGATGCAGCTGAAGGGTGAGGAAAGCTGATGGGTGGGAGAGGAAGAAGAAGGGAGAGACGGTTCTAGAGGGAGGGAAAAAGAAGGTTGGGAGTTACAGGGCTCTCTGATACCATATGAAAGTTAATGAAAAAACTCTTTGATGTAATACACGAGAGTTACGATGATATATATATATATATATATATATAGATATATATATATATATATATATATATATATATATATATATATATATATATGATATATATAGGTAAATAAGTTACAAGAACACCCCTCTAACTAATAAATAACTTACATGAACACCCCTCTAACTAATGAAAAAATACATAATGGTACAAGAACTATATTTGTCTAATATATATATATATATATATATATATATATATATATATATATATATAGGTAAGTTCAATTGAGAAAATAAAAAATGTTGAGAATGGGGGAATCATTCTCAGCTAATCATTTATTTTTGCCGCAAAAGCCTTCATCGTATCGGCGGAAATGGGAAAGGAATACACATGTGTTTTCCAACAAAACATGTTTCTTTAAACTATGCTAATCATTACCTTAATATATACAAAAACATAATTTTTTTCCTTTTTTTAATTTTTAAGAAGCTATTTTTATCGAAAAATGATTTTAAATACAACAAAATTTATAATTTTTTATTCTCTATAAATAGACATTCATATTGATATAGTTTTAAGATAAAATAAAAATTTTATTTTTTTATAGTTTCAGCTCTTGTTATTCATAAGTGAATAAAAATGCATCAGATTTTATTAGAGTACATTCGTTATTGACTTATGGATAAAAAGTATGATTAATTTTTTTATAGTTTAAATATCATTCATATATAAATATAACATATATAAAGTTTTTACAGTTTACATCAGCTCTCGTCACATGTTATAATCACATATGAATAAAACGTGTATTAGTCTTCCTCACAAGTTATATTATATATGGAAAACACATTTATCATAATTTTGTTACGGTTCATTTGTTATTCATATATGACTAAGTAGTTCAAAATTTTAAAACACGTCGTCTTTTATTAAAATACTACTTATTCATATTCGAATAACAAATAAACTACAACAAAAATCTGATAATTTTTTTATTTATATATGAATATAACATGTAACGACCATTAATACACATTTTATTTATATATAAATATAACGTGTGACGAAAGATGATGTAAAAAAAATATTTTAGGTAAAAAAGTTTTATTATGTGTTATATTTATATATGAATAATACTTAAACTGTAAAAAAGTTAAGCATACGTTTTATTCATAAATGAATAACAAATGTTGGTTTCAAAAGAATTGGTTTTGCCATCCAGAAAGGGTTAGCGGCGCAGCTTGTTGCCCGTTTGCCTTCAATCGATATGTATTGAACTATAATATTTTATCTTACAACCACAACCAAACCAATTTATAAATTAAAAAAAATAAAAAAATAAAAAAAATAACAAATTTACTGTAATAAAAAACTGATCGATTTTTATTCACTTATGAATAACGAGAGTTGAAACTCTAAAAAACAAATTTTTGTATTTTATCTTAAAACTATATCAATATGTATGTCTATTTATAGAGAATAACAAAATTATGAATTTTGATATATTTAAAATAATTTTTTGATAAAAATAGTTTTCTAAAAATAAAAAAAAAAACAAAAAACTATGTTTTTGTGTATACTAAGGTAATGATTAGCATAGTTTAAGGAAACATGTTTGGTTGGAAAACACATGTGTATCCATTATCCATTATCGTCGTTACGTCTAAGTGTTTTGCGGCAAGACAAATGTGTGGCTGGGAATGATTCCCTCATTCTCAACTTTTTTTTCTTAATTGAACCATCCTATATATATATATATATATATATATATTATATATATATATATATATATATATATATATATATATATATATATATATATACGGCTTAGTGAATATGTGGCTGTTATCTATCGAACATTAGGTATAGAACCATCGAAACTGTGTCGTTTTAATTGAAATTATATTAAATAAATATCAATTCCACCCAATATTTTTTTTTGCTTCGTGATTTACACAATATGTTAGTTGGTTTTTATTATAAACTTTTGCATCAAATCTCTTCCCACAATCTAAATAGAAGCAACTGAAACACTAAAGTTGATGCTTGGAAGATACACTTCCGTGGTCATGTTAGAACTTGAAGCCCATGTCCATTGGCAGGTTTATGAAAGAAAAAAAAACTAATTGTTGTAATTGTAACAATTAAACATAAAATATTATCATTAATGCCTTTATTAATCTGTAATCACTAATCCAATTAATATCTAATAATCACTGCAATTTAATTTCTAACAAATCGATATCTAAAATTCTATCGTTAGCACACTAAAAGTTGGTGAACCGAAACAAAAATAGTAAAAATTTACTGATTTCCAATGGGTGGGTGGGTGACAAATGATGGTGTTTGGTAGCAGTTAGTGGTGATGGTGACAAAAGGTGGTGGAAGTCGGTGGTGATGGTGGTAGGTAGGGGTGGTATGCTCTAGAGTGTGTGTTTTTGTGAGTCGAATGTTCATAAGTGTGTGTGTTATGGAGAATAAAGACTTTTAGAGGGGGGTGGGTAATTCTTTTAATTAAAAATATTATCATAAATAAAAAAATAAAAAAACAAATCTAAAGGGTATAATAGTCTTTTTAAGTCGATAGAGACCAAAACTAATAAAAATCCAATTTTAAACCATTGGTGTATAGTCAAAAATTTTGGACAAAAACCATAGAATTTTTCTAACAGACACAATTTTTAAAATTTTGTCATCTATAAAATTTTGGACAAAAACCTACTATTTGGACCCAGATTTCCTTATAGGACCCTGTAATTATGATTTTTTAGTCAAACTGATGTTTTTTTCAACACCTGGGAAATTAAACTGTTTTGACTTTGAAAATTTTATATTTTTAGCTTTTTTCTGTTTTGAAAATTTAATATTTTCAGCTTTTTTCTGTAAAAAAAAGTCACTGAACACTGTAATTTGTTAATATCAAAGTTTATTTTAAATAATCTAACAATCTTATTTAATTTTTTTTAATTGAACTTCATTAATATCACAACATATATTATTATTATAACAAATTCAAACTCGATATTTACAAATTCAGTTTTGGTCTTCACAAATTCAGTTTTGATCTTCACAATTTACACCATTGATATCTACAAATTTCAAACATTGAAAAATGTATACTCTTAATAGCTGATTAATTGTCAGCTAATCCAACTATAACACATCTAATATAAAATCAAAACAATTTTACTGCAAACAAACAACAACAGCTTCTGATTTTAACCAAAGGTAAAATGAAAATTCTTGTAAATATCTTTTTATCCACTAAGACGTCACCTCCAGCAACATAACACCTCCACTGAACACCGCCGACACCACCTCCGGTCCGACCACCGGTGGCGTTCCTACAACACCCAGTCATAACAGAAAATGAAAGCGAGAAAGAGAACAGAAAATGAAAGTGAGAGAGGGAGAGAGAGGGAGAGAAATCGATAGGTGGTGGTCCGAATTTCAAAGTCTTCGAAGGAGAAAGAGATGAGGGAGTGACAGGTACGGGTGGAGACAGATTCGTTAGTGGATGAAGAGGGAGGTGTGGCGGAGATGAGGGGAGATAGATTCGTTGGTGGAGAGATTAAGAAAGAAACCGCGATCAGAAAATCATAGCCGGAGATGCTGGTGGCATTTGTCCGGCCGAAGGTGGGTGTTGCTGCAGGCGGTGGATATGGTCGGCCGAAGATGGAGCTGGTCGATCGTGAGGGTTGTGAGGATGAGAGGAATTTTGGCGGCTGATAAAAAGTTTAGGATTTTAGGGTTTAGTTTTTAATTTATAGGTAGTTGGTTTAGGGTTTTAAAAGTATTGGGTTGAGCTTAAAAAGATTGGGCTTTTTTAAAAACGAAAATTGGATTTTTTTTTTCTTAAAAGAATAAGTCTTTTTTTATAAAATTTATTTAAATAAGCTTTTTTAGTATTAAAATTTTATAAAATATTTATTTTTATGTACTTTTTATTTTTATATTTGTGCAATATTCTAATTATTTATATGTGGTTTTTTTTATTTAGAGATGCTTAAGTTTTTAGCTATATTTCTAAAACTACATGCGACTTCAATCAATGTTGATAAAATATCCACATAAGCTTGTTTTTTTAGCTATATTTCTAAATCATAACATTCATATTATTATTTATTTACGTATTTGTTAACTATATTTCTAAATCACAACCTTCAGGTGTTTTGAAATACATAGAAGATACTTGGTTGAACAAGTACAAAGAAATGTTTGTATCTGTTTGGATTGATCAACATCTTAATTTTGGAAACAACACAACCAATAGAGTCGAGAGTGCACATGTCAATTTAAAGAGATTTTTGGACTCTGCAAGTTCTAATCTCGATAGATTTGTGCAACAAATTAATGAAATTGTGCAGTCACAACTCACTTCAATCAATGAAAGCTTTGAATGAGGTATACGAGTCTTTGTGTTGGTTCGAATCACCTACATATTTGCGACATTGGATGATTATGCCTTGGACTGGTTACTTGATTGCCAACAAGTTTGGTGTGATTGTTCATTGTCTAAGCCATGAACAATCTACAACCTGCTTCCCCCTTTGGAGAGGTCCTGAAGAGTTTCAATCTCACCGAAACATTACAGTGGCACTTGTAGGCAGACATTATATTTCGGTGTCTTTAAAAGGAAATTACCCAATGCCTCCCACCACAACATATTGGAATGCTCATAAAGGCTCGTCTGCATCTTTCTGGTAAACTATGTATTGGTCGCGTTTCGAATTATACAATCAACATAGACCTCGTAGTTCTGAAATACCTTGGATACATATCAAGGATTAAGTATGAATGTAATTGAACTCTTTTGATATGTATTGCTTTCAAAATTTTGTTTTATTATTAGTATGTCATATTTGTAGTCTTTTGTTATAATATTTTTAAATAAAACGATTTTAATAAATTACATACAAATAACCTAAAAAATATATAAAAAAAATTATATTTAACCTATTTTATTTTGCAAGTTTAATAACCTAAAAAATATATAAAAAAAAAATCATATTTTACCTATTTTATTTTGCAAGTTTAAAAAAGATTATTAAAATACTTTTACATAAAAAGGTATTATGATTGGTAAAAAATTCATCATTATTTATTAAGTACTTAATAATTACAAATAAAAGACATAAAATTATTATGTAATGATAGTTATTAAAAAGTATTATTAGTATAATGATTTGTTTATTTGAGGAAAAAAAGTAAGGTAATGATGAGGAGGGTCCTTTAAGACTATTAAAGGGTCTAATTAGATGGACCCTTTGAAAAAAGCAACACGTTTAGTCGACTAAAAAGCTACACTTTTAGTCGACATGATGGAGTATCTACAGAAATCGACTAGAGACTTATTCTATTGGTAATGGCAATGAAAATCAATTAATTAATGGTAAAATATATTTATTAATTTGTATGATTGAAATGTAGGCACAAATTCCAAATCACAAAATTAGTAATGCTGAAAGTGACGGCAATAGTGACGGGATTACGAACTGGAACACCGACTATGGGTTGAAATTTTCATGTCCAACGCGTCAGGGATGGATTTGTCCCTAGCCGTTCTAAAAAACGAAAGGTAAAAACAAAAAGAAAAATAATTCACCACTAAAACCGGTTCTCCGGCTTCCTCGATTTACGAGAATACGTGGGACAGGGTTTGCCTATTGCGACGTATTGGGTCTCTTATGGCATAAAGTTTACCGAATATTGTTTGTATTTGGCACCACACCTATGGCGACGTATTGGGTCTCTTATAATGTGAATAACATTTATTGTGGGGTTGTAAAAACAATTGTGTACCAATAGATGAAACGAATATATGACTATGATATGAAGTTCTGTAATATTACAATAGAATGACATATAGAATATAATAACACTAATATCCTTGTAAGAGCATTTTAGTCAATTAAGTTGGACTTAAAAAAAGAAATTTCGGATTATTAGGGATAAATGATTCACTTTTTAAATAAATGATTTTATGAAATAATAATAACTCTTTTAATTTGTTCATTTGAAAGAATATATTAACGAGTATTTTGAAAAATAAAATATTCTTGAATCATATAAAAATACCTATTCTAGCAGAATGGTTATGTATTTATGCTCTTCTACTTGAAACCTTCGTTTTTGTATATTAATAAACGTCCAAAACGGAAAATATTAATCATAAAAGTAAGTAGATCGAAATATTAATCATAAAAGTAAGTCGATTGAAATGATTGCTTAAGAGTAAATGAATTTTAAACCATCCCACACATACGTGAGAAATGACATAAATGCCCACCAGATTAAATTGAGAGTACATAATTGCCCACCAGATTAAATTGTATATATCATGGAGTATATATTAAGAATACACATCCACTTTGAAAAAGTAAACTATTGCAAATAATTCAATTCTCACAAAGAAAACATGAACATATCTTACCGACAAACTGTTTTGTGCTTATTAGACAAGACGATAACTCTTTATCACATACTATGTACGAGTCATCTTTCCCCTCTTCCTTGGCTTTTCTGCAGTCGTCACAGAATTGTTTGAATGCAACATCCATATATCCCGTTGCTTCCTTAACCTTCATATTCTCTACTAACTTTTCAAGACTAATGCCATCTTTATAGTCCCCTTTTAACACTGCACATAATTGTACAAGTTCCACTTGAAATTCGGTTAATTTGGCATCTTCGTTTGCTTCACCATCTCTCATTTTCTCAGGCTCAGGTAAGCTAACTGTTATCAGAAACATAAATTTACATATACATTGAACTATATGGTGTTTGATATATTTGGACAACTAATCCACTATGATCTATGCTAAGAGTCCTATCCATTACATAAAACAGAAATATATTAAGTCATGTAGTTAGTGGATAGAACACTCAGGAATTGGTAGCTTTAATTCGTGAAATAAATCTAAAATATCATGTCACATTGAGCACAAGAACATATTGGATTAACCTTTATACCACTCTCATTTGGGTTAGTGAGGAGACTATTTGAAAGTGTACCTGGACAATCTGTTCTTGGACTGGCTCTAGTGAGAATGCCTTCAAAAGTGCCTGCCCACTCGTCTCGTTTTGTCAAAAAATCTTTTAGGTTGAAGAGCTTCTTTACAGTCGCTGGAATGGAAGAATGTTCAAATTGTGAACTTGGGTAAGGTCCTGAAGGCCCATGCAGCACTGCATACCATTCACAACAAAATTTATTTTTAGTTTTTAACCTTGTGAAATCGTAGATAGATGACGATGTATTTTTTTTTACTAAATACTTATTTCTTAGGTTTCTTTCTAGCTAATGTTTAACTAATTATTAGTTCTAAAATTTATAAACAGGTAATCGCTATTGGAATTAACTCTGGTCGGTTTTATCACCGGTTCAAAATCCAAAAAATCATTTTGATCATGATTTGGGATTGGTTCCAACATTCCAAAAATCATCGGAATTGGTTTTGGGATTGGGTTGTGAAATTTGGTTTGGTACCTACCGGTGCACCTTCCATTATTAAAAAAAAAAACAAATTAATGAGGTTAAAAACAAATAATTATCTTAAAGTATATTCATTTGATGGTTTCTATTATAAAGCATAGGCACATAATACATGTATGATCGGAGTAATAAATTAAATTGTTAGAATATATTCAACAATGTCCAAATAAATTTATTACTAATTACGTTCGTTGAAAAATTGTAGCAATTGATAGGTTTATTATTTTTATGCCTAATTTACAAAAATAAATTCCAATTTATTTTTGATTTTTATTGATGTAGAGCATATTGAGTACCTAACTAAAGCATTTGTGGATAAATGCATGAAAGAGTAACAAAAAGACGAGTTTTTAACCAAAATAGGGTTATTGAAAAAAATATTTACCAATCTAGTATAGTTTGAAAAATATTTACCAAACTAGTGTTTTTCTTCATTTTTTTTATTTTTCAATATTTCTTATTGTTTTTCTATTTATTTAAAATATCAGCTTTTTTACTTTTTTTTTATTTCAGTTTTTTTACTATTTATTTTAAATATCAGTTTATTATTATTATTATTATTATTATTATTATTATTATTATTTACTATGCATTTAACATAAATATCTAACATACAAAAGAGCTTTATTATTTTGGTTCATTACATGCCTATTTGATTAATTTTTTTCTACCGTTTATATAGTCATTACGAGTTTACTTTAATTTTCTTACCATTTATTTATACATATATTTTTAAAAACTTAACCCTTTTACAAATTCAAGTTTTTTCTCATGTCTTTATTTATACAACCTTTGCATGCTTTTTAATTGAGTGTCTTTACATTATAAAATATAAAAAGCAAAAGTATACATATTTTTTGTCTTTACATAAAAACAAATATGTAAAAACATAGAAAACAAATTTTAAAAAAATCTAATTTGTAAAACGAAAGAAATCATAAAATACATGCATAAAACGAAATATGTAAAAAATATTTAGAAAACAAATTTCCAAATCAATAAAAACTATTACTTTTGCTTTTTATATTTTATTTTCAATGTAAAGAAACTCAATTAAAAAGCATGCAAATGTTGTATAAATAAAGACATGAGAAAAAACCTCTTTTTATAAAGGGTTAAGTTTTTAAAATATATATATAAATAAATGGTAAGAAAATTAAAATAAACTCGTAATCACTATATAAACGGTAGAAAAAAATTAATCAAATAGGCATATAATGAACCAAAATAATAAAGCTCTTTTGTATGTTAGATATTTATGTTAAATGTATAGTAAATAAAAATATATAAAATTTAATAAAAAAAACTGAAACAAAAATAAAATAAAAAAATAAACTGATATTTAAAAACAATAAATAGTAAAAAAAACTGAATTAAAAAAAAGTAAAAAAGCTGATTTTTTAATAAATAGAAAAACAATAAGAAATATTGAAAAATTAAAAAAAATGAAGAAAAACACTAGTTTGGTAAATTATTTTCATACTATACTAGATTGGTAAATATTTTTTTCAATAACCCCATTTTGGTTAAAAACTCCAAAAAGACAGGAAAGAAGTTCAACTTTACAAAAACATAAATTTTGATTCGTCAAAAGTTTTTAGGCCCATTTTATATGGACGGAAAGCTCTCAGCTCGATGGCCACTTTAAAGTTTAAACCCTTAAATTTGAGTTTCCTCAAGTTATGGTCCATTTCCGAATTTTGAATACTCGGTTTTAATTTAATTGCATTTTGGCAAAAATTGATAGCTAGTAGTTTGTACCTTTTATTTGGAGCTAGGAGGCGTAGGTTACGTTTATATAAAAGTGTTAGGAAATATGCAAATTTACATTAAAAACCTCTAAATAAAAACTCAAATTTGAAACATTCATTATAGACAAGTATTTTTCTCTAAACAATACTTGAAATATTTTTTAGATTACGAGTAGTTGTTTTCTAAAATAAAAAACTTTAAGTAAAACAAACTTTTTCATTAATTGGAGTTTTTTTATATATATAAAAAAAGAAAAAAATTGAAAGCCAAACTCTTTAAAGGTCTCAAAAGTTCATTGTCAATCACATCCTAAATGTGAAATACATGATTAAATAGATATTTATTCAGCAAATTGATTATATTTTAATTTTCTGAAAGTTGGTGATACCTATCAAATTTAGCTTCAGATTTTTTATTAGCCTTTAAAACATTTTCAAATTTAAAAAAAAAAAAAAAAAAAATCCGTTGTGATTTCTTGTAAATTTCAATGTTGTTTACTTCCGTTATTTCTCACACGAATACTTTATATGTTATTAGAATAAAGAAAAGAATCATCTAGGATGATAAATGAATAACACAACTTAATCAAGTATAAAAGTTTCCTCTTTAGATGAAAAAGATGCTAATAACTTTATGATAACAAAAAGTTTATATATATATATCTATATATATATATATATATATATATATATATATATATATATATATTATATATATATATATATATCAAAAAAATTGTATTTAGATGTAACATAATGAAGTAATAAATATTGGAATTTATCTTTTTAATCATTACAACTCAGGGAAAATTTGATCTCTCAGATATTGACTCGTTATGTAAATCGAGACCTATTTTACATTTAAGAATGTATATAGGAGGAATGTTTGCTAAGCTAACTCATTTATATCGAACCAAAACGTTGCATTAGATGTTGTTATAATTAGTAATGTGTTGTTTATGTTGAAAAAAAAATCACATACCGGTCCCCCTTTCGATCCAAGGAGAAATCAAAATAGTTGGAACCCTGACTCCAAGACGGTCGAATTGAAAGTTATATGGTGCAGGACTCGCAATGCCATCAGGGCTCGGGACATCAGAGACAGGGGTGGGGACATGATCGTAAAAACCACCATGTTCATCATATGTGACTAGAAACAAGATTTCATGCCACTGGGGACTCGATCTCAATGCTTCGTAGACTTCTTTTATTAACTTTTGGCCTTCTGAGATGTCGTGAGAAGGGTGGTCATCGTTTCCAGGCAATATTTGAAGGTCAAAATATCTTTGTTCTATAACAACATAATTCGGTAACGTTCCTTCCTCGCAATCTTGTTTAAAATTGAGATCAAACTGATGAAAGTTGTCAATGTACTTCAGTTGTCTTAGATTCCTGTCAATTATTCAAGAAGGGTTAAAAACATAGTTACTTTGTTACAAAACTACAATCAATTCTCAAACGGTGAGCTTGCTTCATTTATGTATTTCATAAATTTATCATGATAATCTAAAAGTTATTAGTCAGAATCTTGGCATGAGCCATATATATAGCTACTTAATATCCAATAAAAGAAAATACCCCAAAATCCAATTGATTAAAGTGTTTAACTTAGTTAGCATGTTACTTATTGTAATACAATACAAAAAGGTAACATAAAACCATCATATTTAGTTAATTTTTGTGAACATAAGAAATTGCAAATCTTAGTGTCTTATTTTTTGTATTTATATTATATAAACGTTACATAAATATGTATATAATGATTGTTTGAAACAAAACTATGAAAGAATAAACAGGTTAAGAATGGAAAAGATCAGTCTTTCCGATTATTTGCAACACATAATCAAATTGAATAAGGCATCAGAAAGAGTTGAAGAACTTTAAACCTATAGAAAAGTGTTGATGGAGGGTATTGATAATAAATTCCAAAAGATAAACCACTTTCCTCCAACGATTCAAATATGGTCTTCTGAGGAAACCCTTGGATCAGTCTCGAGGTATCATTACTTATCGCACCATTCGAAGTGGCCGAGTGAAGATATAACCTATTCGGTTGCGTCTCACCCGGCACCGAAGCAAACCATCGGTCACAAACCGCAAACTCCATCACCAGATCTTGATAAACCGGAACATCATCCGGCTTAAAACCAGACATTACAACCTTAGATAGCCCTACCTCTACGCTTTCAGCTTGTTGTGCAAAACCCTCCATGGTTGGAGGGAATCCAGATGATGAGGATTCTTTGGTCCATGGCACACCAAAGATTTGTTCGTAAACCTCTTGGTACATGTGGCCAGGGTCTGGCTGGATGAAGTCGGAGTCGTTGCTATAATAGATTCGGGTCGAGTCTGGATCGGTGGTGGATAATGGGTTGGATTCTTTTCCAGTAACACCGTCGATTTCGGGGTTGAGAGATTTCATCCAGCCTAGCATGTGATCAAATGAATGATTTTCTTGAACTAGTATTACTATAGTTTTGATGGGATAGTTTTCTTGGTTGATACCTTCGTTTGCCATTTTTGCTTGAAGAAATAGCAAGAATGATCAAGGAAAATTATGAAACTTCTTGTTATTACTCTCTAAGTTTTATAGGAACTTACTTTCGGTCTCCAATTAACATGAAATGTCATCTTGAAAACCTTTTGCAATATTGATCATGTTCGTATTCTTTCATCATTTTAAAGAATGTACGAATTAGTGATGTAATAACTACTTACACATAGTAATACATGTTATTTTCATTTTTATATAGTAAAGGGAAATGAATATTTTATATATTACAAAGAAATATATAAGTTGTCAACTATATACATCATTCTTCCAAATTTAACTTTAAAAACTATATACATCATTCTTCCAAATTTAACTTTCAATGTTTTAAAAATCGGTTTTTTAGTTTAACCGATATGGTAACCGTTACTCTGTTCGACAGTTATGGTCTATCCCAGAGGGTTTTTTAGTTGAACCGGTATGGTGACCAGTATCTATTTTTTCATTTGTTTTCCTATTTTCCTAAACATGCACATGCAGATGGGTGGGCGATGTGGACGATTGTTCAGGACCCATCTTTCAAAGGGGTCCAAAAATTTTATGGAATTTATTAATGAAATGGTAGACAAGACCGATCTTAAAGATATCATTAATAATTTTGTATCTCAAAAAGCTTGAATAAATATTTTTTCTTTAAATATATGAATTTTTTTTATAAAAAATGTTATATTTAGAAGCTAGTATAAATTTTCTTTTAGTTATTGAGTAGTTATAAAAAAGTTAATGAAATTTGGGTATTTTAAGGGTTTTTTTCCTCTCTCGTATTGGGCCAAAATATGTTTAAAACGGCCCTTCACATACATATATACATATATAAATCAAGAATTTGACGTTTACAAGTTCAAACATTAAAAATTAACATAAAAACGAATTGTAGATCAATCCAAATACATTAAAAGAACACATAATTATAAGTTTTACATCAATCCACATATATCAAAAAAAATAAAGTATAATACTGAAACAAAATATAGTTTTAGATGAATACAAACGCATCAAAAAACTTTATAACATTTATCATATGTTTTTATTTAGAGAAATCTAAATAGATGTGAAAACACCACCAAAGTTTATTATGCAAAATGGTTTTCTTTTCAATGTGTTTTTATTCAATTTAATCGGTTTAAACGGTTTTTTGTAAAAATTTGCCAGTTTATTCCCGTTCAGAAATAGATATATAATTGGTGATAGTTGAACCGCTCTGTCACCTGGTTCCCGATCCAACCGTTTCGATCAATTGGTTCAAACCGATTTTTAAAACATTGATCTACATCATGTGGTCGACGATCACATGATGTTATTTTCATTGTATCTACTTGAACCTTCAACCACCATCTTTTCATTATGTTTCTTGTGTAGCATGTGAAGTTCACGGGTAAGGTGTTTTAAATATCTTTTGTTAATTAAACTTTTAAAATTAGAGATATTTACAAATCTATCCATTTTGTCTAAATAACTTTACCAAAATTAGCCAAAATTTTAGATTTTTTAGAAAATAGTCATTGAAACCCTAGACGGGGCTACTTCATATGCAATTTCGTCACCTCCTTTTCGGTTTTGTAATAGCCAATTCCATGTGTCTAAGCAAAAAATTATTTATTCTTCCAACTTTTCGATCTTCCCATTCATTTCATGTGGGTTCTTATTCCTCTAATTTTATCCATTCTACCAAGAATAATCAATATTAATTCGTAAATCTAGATCGGCTAATTTGTAACACCCAAAAAATTTCAAACCAATTTAAACTTTCAAAAACAACCCAAGTTCCTATTACAAAAAGGTTTCCAAATAGTTTATTATCAGAGTATCCCAGAAACAGAATCATAAAAAAAGTGAGGAGCGGTACGATCACGCCTTTGCCTTGCCACGATCCCCTGATGTACCTGAAACAATAATCGATAAATGTAAGCTCGAAGGCTTAGTGTGTTACCCCCAAAATACTCATACACACATAACCATACACACACAGTAACAAACAGCATACTATGGGTCCAATCAACCCTCGGGTTGGAATACCCCAAGCCCTCAACCATCGGGTTAGAATGCCAACATACTACGAGTCCAATCATCCTCGGGATGGAATACTCTTGGCCCACAACCATCGGGTTGGAATGCCCACACTCATATACATACAACAACTACTATGGGTCCAATCATCCATCGGGATGGGATACCCCAGGCCCTCAACCATCGGGTTGGAATGCCAACCTACTATGAGTCCAATCATCCTCGGGATGGAATACTCTCGGCCCATAACCATCGGGTTGGAATGCCCACCTACTATGAGTCCAATCATCCTCGGGATGGAATACTCTCGGCCCACAACCATCGGGTTGGATTGCCCACATACTATCAATCAAACATGTGCACTTACATCAGACAATCGTATAACAGTCTACCAGACAACATACTAGGGCCCTATCATCCTCATGATGGAATACCCTCAACTACCATAACAAGCATGTGCACATATAACATGTAATCTCCTACCAGCATACAGACAATCGGACCAACTACAAGTCACTAGGTATAACCACAACCGATCTACCCGGATACCGATCTAACAGATCATACTAGCATATAATAATCCTATCTACCAGGATACCGTACTAACATATCATAACATAGACCATTCCAAATAACATAGCAAAGGGCCGGCCTTGGTGCCTTAGACCCTTGGGTACAGTGAGGATAACTCACCTTGTAATGCCGAACTGAAGAGGTAAGATCAAATCCCCCGATCACAGCCACGAACTCCACCACCTAACACTTTGATGAAACCATATCTGTAAGTGCCCAAATTACCAGAATACCCTTGGAAGTCAAACTGGTCAACTCTTGGTCAAAGTCAAAGTCCTGGTCAAAGTCAGCCTTCCTGATTGACCCTACTCGTCGAGTCAGCCCATTGACTCGCCGAGTTCCCAATCTCAGAAAATCCTCATATCACGACTCAACTCGCCAAGTGACCCCATGACTCGTCGAGTTCATCAATCCCCGAGTCCTAGCCTGTCCAACTCACTGAGTCACCACTCAACTCACTGATCCTTATCATAACCAGAGGGGTTAGGGTTTGCGACCCGACTCGTCGAGTCCAAGAACAGACTCGCCGAGTTCACTTAAGTCATCCTCATTCAGACAATTTCAGTCCATCTCACTACTTCCAACTCATAGATCTGGACTCCTAAGGCTAGTTTTACACGTAAAGTTTCCAACTTTACGTACATGCAAGGTGATTTTGGCTCAAAACAAGCTAGAGAGATGGTTCAAGACAAGAATGCTCACAAACAAGCTAAAAGGCTGATACTTTATGCCTCCATGGACCAAGATAAGTCTAGATCTGAAGTTGCAACCCCAGATCTAGTCCCAAAACCCGAAATGGATCCCAAACATGCTAAATAGCCCCAAATCATCATCCAAGAATAGATCTAGAAGGGAAGAGCTCAAGGCAATGACTTGTTACCTCCAAAATGTGCCCAAGATGAAGTAGATTCTGGATCTACACGAATTCCTTGATGCTAGCCTCTTGATTTACAAGTTTCCTTCACTAGAATCACCTTCCAAAGCTCAAAAACTCTCACCAATGGCTCACACACGATTTTAGGGTTTACTGACTCTCAAGGGGTAACAAAGAGGCTGAGGTGAGAACATAAGGTCCTTTATATAGGGTGCAAACCCTAAATTCTAGGGTTTTCTCTTTCCAGCACCAACTCGTCGAGTCACGCCGCCGACTCGGCGAGTTGGTCACTTAACACGTGGCCAAAAACCCGTTCTAACTCGACGAGTCAAGATACCTACTTGCCGAGTCAACTCCTTTATTTTCACAAAAGACCCCGAACTTATATTCCTGAACTTGGGATGTTACAACTCTCCCCCACTTAAATTAGGCTTCGTCCTTGAAGCATGCTGCAGCACACGATTTCGGATAACACTCCTATATTGCAGCCTCCGATCTCCCAAACCAGTCCAAATCTCTTCAGGCACTACTACCGCGTCCCTTCTAAGGACAACTCCTTCCTGTGCAGGATCCCTACCTATTGCTCCAAGCCTTCCACCGGCCTCTTCTCCTTAATATCCACACACATCAATCTAAGTATCACCCGGTGATACTTCCACCTTCCTGTCATGCACGCACTTTCGTGACTGGCGAAAGCTGGTTACCACTATAATTCACGGGGCTCTCTCTCACAGTATTAATCTATCCTTACCTTTCCAAAACTGGCGATAACCCGGGTAACTTGCAATATTAGAAACTCATCCACTTCCCTTCCTGAATCTAGTCCCTTTCCGCGCTGACAGGATGACGCATCCTTCAGCTTCCGAGTAACTCTCATGAACAACCAGCTATATCGCATAAACACTCATACCTGGCCCAATCAGCCTCGGGCTGGAATACCAGGTATGCCTATGACGGGTCCAGTCATCCCTAGGATGGTATACCCTCGTATCCTCATGCATGTTTGGCCTAATCAACCCTCGGGTTGGAATACTAAACATACCAGGTCCAATCAATCATAGGGTCCGGTCATCCTCATGATGGAATACCCTAGATTGGAATACCACTACATACATATCCCATGTCTACAACCATACTTGGAATCCAAGGATCTATCCTCGTATCTCCTTCAAACTCCTCTGATTTGACACAACCGACTACAAATTACCCAAATCTCAACAATACGTCTACCTCAAACCCGATACAGCAGGGAATATAACTATCACGATCTCTACGCCCACGACCTATGACTGGAATACCCTCACATGGTCCTCAGCATAGGTCTGGATTGCTTCTGAGCCTGTCAACCTCGCTACTTCCACTTCTGTTGTCCAAAGCTCCATCCTGGAGATACTCACCTCCTCCACTTCCAAGGAGGCCTAAACCATGACCTCGCAACATCAGTCAGCGTCACAGTGTTGAAACCCCACCTTACACTATCCACTGGTGGATCACGTTGCCATTCCATAACACATATACTCAGAACCTGAACCCACAACTGATAAACCCATATAGAGTCTTCATCACACTTCCTCATTATGTTCATCACTCGAAGACAGATCCACTGATTGCTATTAGCATAGCAGTA